GGAAGGAAGGAAGGAAGGAAGGAAGGGAGGGAGGGAGGGAGGGAGGGAGAGGGGAAGGAGGAAGGGAAGGAGGCAAGGAGGGAGGGAGGGAAGAGATGGGAGGATGGAAGTAAGGAAGGAAGGAAGGAAATGGAAGTGAGGATGGGAAGGAGAAAGTCCAGACAAGGAATAATGGATGGAAACAGAATAAGGAGAGATTCAACCTGGAAATAAGGAGGAATTTTCAGACAGTGAGAACAATCCACCCACGGAACAGAAGTTGCCTTCAGAAGTTGTAGGAGCTTCATCCCTGGAGGCTTTCAAGAAGAGACTGGACTGCCCTCTGTCAGAAATGGTGTAGGGTCTCCCGCTTGGGCAGGGGGTTGGACTAGATGACCTCCAAGGCCCCTTCCAACTTTGTCATTCTGTTAATCTGTTCCCCTGCCCTTCGGTAAGATGGAATCCTTGCTAGTTTTCAGCTCTGCCTCCTTTCCTCCTCCTCTTCCTCCAACAGGAAGTCCAGCTCGAGAAAGAATACGAAATCCATCCACGACCCGCGCAAGAGCGGAAGCTGACCAACCAGTTTAATTTCAGCGAAAGAGCCTCCCAGACCTTCAACAACCCCGTGCGGGTAGGAATCCTTGCTTCCCTTTGGTCCCCTTTCCGGGACGCTTGCAAGCAGGGTGCAGGTAGTCCTCGCCTTTCCACCGCCGTTGAGCCCCAAAGTTCCATTGCTAAGCAAGACAGTTGTTAAGTGAGCGTTGGCACCATTTTATGACCTTTCTTGCCACAAGTCGTTAAATGAATCCCTCTGCTTGTTAAGCTTAGTCATACAGTTGTTAAGTGAATCTGGCTTCCCTTTGCTTGCCAGAAGGTCGTCAAAGGACCCTTTGACCCCCCTCCCCCGCCCCAGATATTGCACATGTCAACATGGCTGGGATGCAAATATTTTTACAACCAGTTCTGTGGGCGTGGCTAGGTGGGCATGGCTAGGTGGGTGTGGCCATGTGACTGGTTGGGTGTGGCTTCTCCTCCTCCTCTTCTTCTTCTCCTTCTTCCTCTTCTTCTCCTTCTCTTCCTCCATCTTCTCCTTTTCTCCTTCTTTCTTCTTCTTCTTCCTCTTCTTCACCTTCTCCTCCTTCTTCTTTTCTCCTTCTCCTTCTTCCTCTCCTCCTCCTCTTCCTCCTTCTTTTTCATCTTCTTCTCCTTCTTTTCCTCCTCTTTTCCTCCTCCTCCTCCTTCTCCTTTTTCCTCTTCTTCTCCTTCTCCTCCCTCCTCTTTTGCAGCACACCCCCCCTCTCCGTTTTTGACCTGCTGGGCCTCAGGGATGCCTCCTGGGAGGGGGGCATTTTTGCTCCCAGGAACTTTCCCCGAGGCCCAGGAAGCCAAAAAACAGAGCAGGGGCGGGGGGGCCTCACATAACACCCCCCCTCCCGCTTCCTGGACCTCAGGGAAGCTTCCTGGGCAAAGCAATAAGGAAGTGAGGGGAATCCCAGCAGAGAACTGATCATCAGAACAGCTGATTGTCAGAAGGAAAAAAGAAAGAAAGAAAGAAAGACCTTAAGGAATGGCTGGGCGGGGGAGAATGCAGTCAGTGATGTTGCACATGCGCCATAAGGACTGACTGGGTGGGGAGGGGAGGGGGGGAGGGGAGGGGAGGGAGGAACGGGGCCAGTCAGGAGCGCAATTTGCTGGTTCTCCAAACTGCGCAGCATTGTAACAACCGGTTCTATAGAACCAGTCTGAACCAGTAGAATCCCCCCCCCCCCTCCGCATGTCAGAAAGACATGCCGCTTCCCGGATTCCTGCGCATCCGAGATGATAAGAAACCGGAGGAGGCCACTAGCAGTGCTCAGGTGGCTGAACTTTACCGGAAGCAGAAGCCGATCCAAAATCAACCGTCATTGGAAAAGGATGATGATTTCGGTTAATAATAAAGTTGATCTAATGGAAGGGTTTTTTTTGTTTTGGCATGAAGTCATAGCGCTGAACGTGACTGATTTTTGTATTAAGTTTGGAGTGGAGAGTAAAACTTGGAGATATTGGTTAGAGCTTTTGGTTTCTGAAAGTAGTTCGTTTCCCAGCTGAATGAAATTTTCTGTGATCAGATATGAAGTTGGTGAAAGGGTATAAATAAACATTGATATTTAAAAAAAAGAAAACGAAAAAGAAATACAGGCCAGTTGCCCAGTGCCCCAATTTTGATCACGTGACTACAAGGAAGCTGCAATGACTCGTGTGCACGACAGTCATAAATTGCTTTTTCAATCCTGGTACAACTTTGAACGGCGACTAAACAAACGGTTGTAAGTCAAGGATTACCTGGTAGGATTCCAAAAAAATTTACTACTGGTTTGTGGGGGTGGCTTGGTGGGTATGGAGTGGCTTGGCGGGCGTGGCAGGGGAAGGATACTGGAAAATCCCCCTTCCCTCCCCACCCCACTAACCTGCTTTCCAGCTCCATTCTCCCATGCAGGGCAACCAAAGAAGACCCAGCCGATCAGCTGGGACTCAATGGGAGGCAGAGAAGAGATAGGGGAAGGGCCAGTCAGAGGCGGGATTGGCCGGTTCTCCGAACTACTCAAAATTTCTGCTACCGGTTCTCCAGAACTGGTCAGAACCTGCTGAACACCAGCTCTGGTATTCCCCATTGTGGCCATCCCAGGCAGAATGGGATAACTCACCAGGACCAACTTGCCACGGCCAACTCATTGAGGCCAAGGCCAAATCGCCACAGGACAATGTGCTGCCTGTGGGACAATTCAACCATTTGATTTCATTACTTAAAATAATTGAACCACCATTTTAATTTTTGTCCTTCACATTTCATTTGGTCCTTCCTTCGGCATCTTTTCTTTCAGAATCCTGTTCCGCTATTTCTTCGAGATTAGTGTAACTCTTGTCTCATGGCGAGGTCGGTTGGCCGTGGCAAATTAGCCTGTGGCAGGTTGGTCATGGTGGGTTGGCAGTGGCAAGCTGTCATAGATCGACCCCAGGAACCCAACAGACTTAACTGTGCAGGTGCTCAAATGCTGGGTTGAAATTCCTGGCGAACTTCTTTCTCACCCCTGACCCATCCTGAGACCCTCCCTTGGCACACCCACACCTGAAGCCCTTACAAACAGGAGAACACCTAACATTAGGCTAACATTAACAATTAAAGAGAAGGAACAAACTTTATTATACGATATGGGAATTATTTTATCAGTGGCTTGGGGAATAAAATATGGAAGTTAGAAATTAAAGCAGACTAGCGAAAAATGTGAAAAGAATTAAAAATGTTCAGATGGGGAATGTTATAAGAATTATGTCAGAGCTTTTGCAGCATGATTATTTTTATGAGACAACCCAGGAGCAAAACGCAGCACACACTTAGACATTTAATGGTGGTTTGTATACAACAGTTATATACAGAAATATATGTGGTGGGCAAAATACCTGACAAGCAGTCAATCTTCTTCTTAACTCTACACGGAGAACTCTGCAATGGTTACAGGACAAAAGGAGAGAGAAAATGCCCTCTAGTTGCTGTCTTATATAAACACCTCTTAAAGGGGCAGAACTCATCCTCAGTCTTAAAGAGGCAGTACTAATGCTGATTCATCTTGATTGCATCAGCCTTATATTGCATCAGCTTCACTGCTGGTCGGCTCTTAAATCCCAAGACTTTAACAAATTAGATATACTATGTATATATTAGTATTAAGTAAGAATAGAGTATTAACATCGAGCAACGAATATGTATAAACTGTCATTGTTATTGCACAAGATATTTGTACCCAAACGACACACTGTTTAAATGGAAGATGGATTGTTTGTATAAAATAAAATAAAAAAAAATTACCAAAAAACCCCTACAAAAAAAAGAAGAACACCGACCCTGACATACCCTAAACTCCACTGAATATATTACTTGATTGCAGGAAATACGACTTCAGCCACAGAGCGGTCAATGTCTGGAATCCTCTACCTGACTCTGTGGTTTCTTCCCCAAACCCCCAAAACTTTAACCTTAGACCAGGGGTCCCCAACCACCGGGCCGCGGACTGGTACCGGTCCGTGGAACATTTCCTACCGGGCCGCCGGTTTGCTGGGCGCCGCCATCTTGTTTGACGAGAAAGTGCTTCTGGGTGAGCTTTTCCAGTTGGAAAGTGGCGTTTGGGTCCTGAAGGAATCCTCGCGCCTTAGTTTCATCGAAGGGGGGGCGGGCTTCGAACGAAACTAAGGCGCGAGGATTCTTTCAGCACCCAAGGCAAGGCGAGCCAAGCGGCCGTCCCAAAGCGAAGCCCATCGACAAAGGTACAAAGGAGGAGTTGAAGGTGGCGGGAAGAAGCGAGGGATGGCTGGCTGGCCAGTCGCTCGGCTCGCCTTGCCTTGTCATGTGTGCTGATGCCGGTACCGGGCCGCAGATCATTTTGTGATGCCAGTACCGGGCCTTGGCACAAAAAAGGTTGGGGACCACTGCCTTAGACTGTCTACTGTTGACCTCACCCCATTCGTAAGACGTCTGTAGGGGGCGTGCATAAGCGCACCAACGTGCCTACCGTCCCTGCCCTATTGTTTCTTTTATTTTTTTATTTTATTTATATGCATGTATTCATAACTACGTTTTAATTATACCTATTATCTTGTAAGCAATTGACAAATCAAAATAAATAAATAAATAAATATATTACCTAGCCTGGTAACGAAACATTCGGAAACCAACCCACGAATTTGGAGAATGAACCTGTACCCTCCAACTTCTTTCTTCCAGGACAGGGCCTGCCAGATGGAGCCCCCGCCCAGAGCAACTTTCTCGGACACTGCTAACCAGGTAACGGCTCCTTTCTTTCTTGTGGGTCTTCCAGGGCACCTGCACAGGCCGTCCAGCTTCCTGTCAAGGGAGGGAGAGAATACAATCCTAGGTGGCATTGCCAGAGGGACAGAATCACGATCGCGTGAAGTGTTAAGTACCACTTTATAATGCCCTGGTAAGGCCACACTTGGGATACCGCGTCCGGTTTAGGTTGCCACGGTGTAAAAAAAAAAAGATGTCGAGACTCTAGAATGAGGGCAGAGAAGAGCAACAAAGGGGATTAGGAGGCTGGAGGATGAAACATGCAATGAATGGTTGCAGGAACTGGATATGTCTGGTTTAATGAAAAGAAGGACTAGGGGTGACACGATCGCAGTCTTCCAATATCTCAGGGGCTGCCCCAAAGAAGAAGGGGGTCAAGCTATTCTACAAAGAACCTGAAGGTAGGGCAAGAAGCAACGGATGGAAACCAATCAAGGAGAGAAACAACCTAGAATTAAGGAGAACTTCCTGACAGCGAGGACAATTAACCAGGGGAACTGCTTGTCACCAGAAGTTGTGGGTGTTAGGAATAACAAGGTTACCTAACGTAGTTTGGGTAAAATAATATATATAAACTATGATAGTAAGTTTAAGTGTGTGTCACTTTAAACTGCAAAGCATGTAATTTTGGGTGCGGTGTGAAACCGCCATAAGAGGGAGCAAGAGAACCTGACGATTGCTGACGATTCCTGATGATTGCTAGTTTGATGGATTGATGGTTTGTTAACCGTGTGTTTTCCCTACTGCTGAGTTGCTGAACGCTGAAGGAAGAAAGGAGGTTTGACTTCTTCATATCTCTACTGTGAGGAGATATATTAGTGGACTGATATTTGTAAGTTTACTGACCTCTTTTTCGACACTGGACTTTGCAACTGAATAATCCCCAGACGGACTGAACTAGTGAATGATATATGGACTGTTTTGACTATGCTAAAACTCTTACTGGAGTAAACTATTTAACTAGCGCAGTTTATCTGTTTTACTGAGTGTAAGCTACAAAAACGTTTATCTTACATATTTTGCCTGCCTGCCTGCCTGACTGCCGTGCAGATTCTGCTAGGGTGTATCCCTAATAGTGGGTACTCCAACCTCCATTGGAGGTTTTTAAGAAGAGATTGGACAGCCATTTGCCTGAAATGGTATAGAAATATGATTAGGGTAGATATAAAGAATATGAAGAACAGTTGCAGGGAGTTGAGTATGTCTAGTCTAATGAAAAGAAGGACTAGGGGAGACATGATAGCGGTCTTCCAGTATTTGAGGGGCTGCCCCAAAGAAGAGGGAGTCAAGCTATTCTCCAACACACCAGAAGGACATGAAGCAACAGATGGAAACTAGCTAATGAGAGAAGTAACCTGAAACTCAGAAGAAATTTCCTGACAGTGAGAACCATTAACCAGTGGAAGGCCTGCCTTCCAGAAGTTGTGGGGGCTCCAATACGGGAGACTTTTAGGAAAAGAATGGACAGCCCTTTGTCTGAATTGGTACAGGGTCTCCTGCCCGAAAAGGGGTTGGACTAGAAGACCTCCACGGTCCCTTCCAACTGTTATTCTGTTAATCAGTACAGTGCCTTGCCTCCAGACGTTGTGGGTGCTCCATTGCTGGAGGTTCGAGAAGAGATTACACAACCAGTTGTGTCTCCTGCATTTGTTCCGTGCAACCAAGCACAATCCCTCAGCAACCTGACTTCGAAATCTTGTGAAGTTTGTCTGAACGGTTTCGAACGTTGAGATGCTAGGAAAAACACCCTGTGCCTCCTTTTGCAATGCAACCCCCATGGAATTAAAGTTTTACTTAATGTTATTTTTTCTCTTTTTTCGTTTGCCTGGTAGGATCTTAACTCTTCCTCACTGTCCTTCGTTATGAGCCCTTCTGAAATTTTCTTACGCCACATTAAAGGGTCTTGAGCTTTGCCGCCACATTCTACCTTTCTATCGTCTTGGCTTTTTCCTTCCCTCCTTTCCTAAACCTCCTTTCTTGTTTGCTGCAGCTCTTTCTTGCTTGGCCTCTCAGCCCGGTCTTCTTCCTACCCTTCATCTTGTTTTGATGCCTGTTCGGGATTCAAATTTTGCAAACCTACTTTGCGCTCAGGTACAGTTGCACAGCAGGAATCGGCATGTCTCTAATTTGGGTTGTTTTCCATGCTCGCTTGGTTATTTTCTTGAAGATTGCGTGGGGACTAATTTTTTTTTTTTAATTTGGCAACTGTAAGAGGTGTGGACTTCAACTCCCAGAAGTCCACACCTCTTACAGCTGCCAAATTTGAAAAAAAAAACACCGGACTAACTTAACCAAGAAAATCACCTCTTACCTCTGTGAATCTACGACCGACTCACTCTTTCTTCCTCTTAGTGGAACATCTACGATGCTTATGTGGAAGAACTTCAAAAGCTGGAAAAGTCCAAGGAGAAAGAAAAACAGAAAGCCCCTGTGACTAAGAAAGAAGACAAGATGATGGGAAGGAAATTAACCTCTCTGGAATCACAGGTGCTGTTGCAACTTTCTGTGTTGTGTTGTGTTGTGTGTGCTTTAATTCCAGTCTCTCTGGAGGCCATCTCCTTATCTCCACCTTTCATTAGCCAACGGACCTGTTGTGGCCTGCAGGCAGCTAGCAGAGATGGCCGCAAAGTCACACAGTCAGGAGGTTGGGAAGGAACCTGGGCCAGTCCTGGAGGCTGAGGAAGGCTCTGCGTCAGAGGCAGAGATGGGGCCAGGGCAGCCTAGCAGTTGTCAGCTGCCTTCTGGTAATGAATCCCAAACAATCCCTCGAGATAAGCACCCACCTTTCTCTCCTTTGAATTGCTGCCAACAGCTAAAGTGCCAAATGAACTATAAAAAAACCAAAGTCCACACAGAGCTTCAAGGATTAATCCGAAACGATCGAATGACTTTGCTGCCTGCAAAGGTTTCTCTACCTTTGCACTTCCTTTATCCCTTGTGGGAGGGCCAATCACCTCCCAGCCTTACTCCTGAGTCACCCCTTTTGTCTCGGCTGCTCTCGCCTTCTAGCAGCTCTGTGCACACGCGCACTGGGAACAGGCTCCCCCTGTTCCTCTGCCTCACTGCTGCCAGACTCCAGAGGCTTTGGAGGCAGCACCCCACTCCCAGATGGTTCCGGTCCCATCTCTGCGTCGGATGCAGGACCCTCGTCCGAGTCCCCTTCAGACTCCCAGACTGGTCCCCGTTCTTCCCCACTGTCCGATTCTGCTGCCGTCTGCACCGGCTGCCAGCGAACCACAACAACTGAGACCTTAGAAAAAGTGCAGAGAAGTACGACAAAGGTAATTAGGGTGGGTAGGTAGGTAGGTAGGTGGATGGATGGATGGATCATGTCAGAGTGAACACAATTTGACTATCAACCCAGGAACAAATACAGCAAACAGAGGTTTGTATTTAAATAGTAAAGAATATATACATACATGTACTTTAGTCTGTCCTCAAACAAACTGCAATCAACAAATTACAGCAAAGAAGCACACACACACACACAAACACAAATACACACACACACACACACACACACACACACACACACACACACACACACAAAGAGAGAGATACACCCAAACAGGGCCTCTTCTTATTTCAAGCTCTTAAAGTGATATCAGCCCCAAAAGCTTGCTGACTCATTCCCAGCATTATACCATTGTAACAGCTGGTCAGCTCTTAAATCAATTAAACTCTGACAAATAGCTAACTAGAGGTTTGCAGATAGGAGGAGAGGAAGGGGAGGAGGAAGGAGGACGGAGGTTCCTGGTGCTCTCTGAGCTGGGTGGTTTGCTTACAGGCGTTTCATTACCCAATTAAGTAACAATATCAGTACTACAATAGTGGGGAGTTTGTGAAGAGGAAGAGGAGGAGGAGGAGGACTGTGGAGTTCTTGGTGCTCTCTGAGCTGGGTGGTTTGCTTACAGATGTTTCATTACCCAACTAGGTAGCATCATCAGTGCTAGAAGGGAGTGGAGTTTGCCCTTTGATATACAAGTGGCTTGCTCTATCAGTGTTGGTTGGGGAGTTCTTGGTGGGGCCTTAATTAAGCTGATTTCTACTGTCTGTGTGTCTGAGCTCCCTGATTGGATTATTGTTTGCTTCTTGATCATTGGTCTAGTGTTAATCTTGACATTAGTCTCTGCTTATCTGGGTGTTTATTGCCGCCGAGAAGGATTCCCCCCCCCCTTTACTGTCTCTTTTGAATGGTGTGTAAACATTGTTCATCTCTATGGGCCTGTTGATGGCTTATTGTTGTGAATGCTAGACTTCCAGAAATTCTCTCGTGCAGCGTTTCATCTTTTAGAGCCAGTGATAACATCCCAAGTGCCCAGTCCTGATGAGCACGAAGATTTACCAGCAAGACTCACTTCCCTGTGGGGACTATAGTACTATTAAAGAGACCCATTTACAGTTAGCTCTTGACTTACAACCTCAATCCAAGATGGCTGGGAATAGAATAGAATATGACTTAGTAATAGAATAGAATATAGAACAGAATATAGAACAGAATATAGAACAGAATATAGAATAGAATAGAATATAGAATAGAATAGAATAGAATAGAATATAGAATAGAATATAGAACAGAATATAGAAAATAGAATAGAATAGAATAGAATAGAATATAGAATAGAATAGAATATAGAATAGAATATAGAATAGAACATAGAATAGAATAGAATAGAATAGAATATGACTTAGTAATAGAATAGAATACAGAATACAATATAGAATAGAATATAGAATAGAACAGAATATAGAATAGAATAGAATATAGAATAGAATAGAATATAGAATAGAATATAGAATAGAATAGAATATAGAATAGAATATAGAATAGAATGTGACAGTAATAGAATAGAATATAGAATAGAACATAGAATAGAATAGAATAGAATGACTTAGTAATAGAATAGAATATAGAATAGACTAGAGCAAATAGAAGAATAGAATAGAATAATAATTTTATTGTCACTTTGTACACTAATTATCATACATTAAAATGAAATTTCGCTGCCTACGGCTCTCAAAGGGTCACCACCTTCAATATACACTACATGGACATGACAAAATAAAATAAACAAAGGAATAAATAAATGCAACATTATGTATATACTCACATATATTATACGGCACAGACAAACGATGCCATCTAGTGCGGATGTATCCCTGTACACTGGGAGCAAAATGAATCTTGTGAGGTTACCAGGTGCAGACGGCCTAAGGAACAAAGCCCTTACCAAATCTGGTAATCCTGCTAGGGCCACCAGACTCGAGGATTATCAGATTTAACTATGGTTTGTTGAATATAAATTAGCACCGGAGTTAGTTGAGTCTGTGCGGGACACTGAACCAAATGGGAGGAAATCCCACAACGGCTGCCCTTGATGGAACCCAGTGGGTGGCAACGATGAGACGATCGATTTAAGCCTATTAACTGATTTTTATTTTCTTTTCCCGGAAAGAAAATGGATGGAAAGGAAAAAAGGAGCTGACTGCTGATTTAATTAGACTGACAATGCAGGGGCTAATGATGGATTAAGCCCCAAGCCCTCGCTCCGCTCGTGTTCTTCACACTGCTGGGCAGAAAAGCAGCTCCCTGTATCCGTGCGAAGCCTGAGACTTCGCCGCTGAAGTATAACCCCGCTATTTGGCTGGTCCTTGATTTACAAATAGTTCGTTTAGTGACTGTTCCAAGTTACAACATCATTGAAAAAAAGGGACTTACGGCCATTTCCCCTCCCCCATCTTTAAAGCGTTTTCTTTGATTATAGAATAAAATACAAAATACAAGCGCAAATAGGAAGCCACATTGGATTAGGGTTAGAGTTTGGGTTAGAAAAAGCATTGACTTGCCCTACTCCCCCTGCTGCAGTAGAATAAAGCATTAACATCAAAGCACAGCCGTTTTACTTTTCCATAATAATCTAATCTAGCCATTTACGGATCCATATCCAGATTAGCAGAGTGTGATGGCCCGTAATCTCTCAAAATAACCCCAAACTGCAAGAACAAACTTGAAGAGAGGTATTAAGCAAGCTAAGGCCGAATATAAGAGGAGAATTGAAGTCTGCTTTCTCAGTAATAACATGAGGAAGGTTTGGCAGGGGGGTTCAGCAACTAACGAACTATAAAGCAAAAAAGGTCTCTTTGGATGGTAGTGCGGCGGTGGTTGAGGAGTTGAACCATTTTTTTGCTCGATTTGAGATCCATCAAACTGAAACGGTCCCTTTGCTATCATTTACTCAGCAGAGCCTCCCCTTCATTGTGGATGAGCAGATTGGGTGTCACCACTGTCCTGGTGAAGTTCCCTTTCCACACAAGCAAGCAAGCAAGCAAGCAACTCCTCCTCCCCCTCTCTGTAACCTCCATTCTCTTCTAGCACTGCTGATGTTACCTAGTTAGGAAACTAAACATTTGCAAGAAAACAACCAAGTTTAGATAGCACCAAGGATCCCACTGCTATTCTCCTCCTCCTCCTCCTCCTCCTCTTCTCCTCTATAACCTCCATTCTCTTCTAGCACTGATGATGTTACCTAGTTAGGAAACTAAACATTTGCAAGAAAACAACCAAGTTTAGATAGCACCAAGGATCCCACTGCTATTCTCCTCTTCTTCCTCCTCCTCCTCCTCCTTCCTCCTCTTCTTGTAGATTTTGTTTACCCAAACTAAGTAACATCACTAGCACTGATGACCTTACCTAGCTTTTTTGAGCGGGGAGAATTAAAAAAAAAACCGTTTGCCTTTAGGATGTCGGAGCATTCAGCCATGCAATCCAATCCCTATTCGGGAAGGCTGAGAATAACCATTGCCCTTTCCCGGTGCTCCATTGGTGTGGATCAAAAGCATCAGCCCAATTTCTGTCTGTATCCCGTTCGTTCTGGGCGAACAGGCGGGTTTCATACCAGCGTTCCAGAGATCCTGCCTGGGGAACATTATTTGTGTCAGTATTTTATTTCTAAGTAATGAAAGATCTGCAAAACACGGATTATTTGTGGCAGGCACTCTGTAGCTCCGAGATAAACGTGTGTTTTCTTTTTTTTTTTCAAGGTGATTATCGCAATTGGGCCATGGGAATGTTAATTAATTCCCACGAACAGATACTGTGCATCATGTCAAAGGCCTCCATTATTGCAGCTTTATAAAATAACTAGCTTGATACCCGTGCTTGGATACAAAACTATGTGGTCGGCCTTTGTTTTGGGGGAGGAAAATAAGGGGGAAAAAATTCTGCCTCTGCCTACCAGCCTCCATCAGTATTCCTCTGGCTAGTGTCCTGTCAGTGTGTGAGAGAGTTGAGGGCTGTTTGGAAAGTAAAACAGTATTAGCTGTGTGAGCAAGAAAGAGACAGCAAGGAGCCTGGGCGTGGCTTAGCTCAACTGTTCTGTACTAAAGCTGCTTGGTGCTATGAACTTGAAACTGGAACTGAACCTCCTCTCCTCTGCTTGTGTTTTGCGTTTGGAAGAGATTTCTTTCCAGGTGGGGATGGGGAGTAGAACTCCTTAGCATCAGAGCGTGTTAATAATAATAATATAGGAAATACAAATGCTCTGATGGTCATTTCAATAAATCCTTTCTTAGTGAGCCTCTAGAAGCCAAGAGGAACATAAATGCCAAATTTCAAGTTTGTAGCCTTTACGGTTCTGGAGATTTTGTGACGATGCACGAGTGGCATTTTGCTTTTATATATAGATATCTAGATAAAACTGAAAATTCCCCAGAAAGGAAGAATTGGCAGTGCTGCTAAGCCAGTTCTCACGTCAAAGTGTTTGCAAGTCAGTAAGCTGCGCTGGGAAAGTCAATTCCCCAAGACCCTTAAAAGAGTGGGAGGGGAAATGGGTATATTAATATTATTATTTTTTTTGCTGTTTTGCTTCAAAAAGATGCAAGATGAATCGGTTGCTTGAAGTGGCGAGGAATGCAATCAAAGCCACGCTGATTCCTACAAGGGCGGATTCTTGCTTCTGGAATGATCGCCATGGGCTCCGTAGGGTATAATTCGCATATGCAGCCCTGAAACATTGGCAGGATTAGGGGCCTTTGATAAGGCCAGGGGGATCAGATGATTGCAGGAAATACGACTTCAGCCACAGAGGGGTCAATGTCTGGAATCCTCTACCTGACTCTCTGGTTTCTTCCCCAAACCCCCAAAACTTTAACCTTCGACTGTCTACTATTGGCCTCACCCCTTTCCTAAGAGGTCTGTAGGGGGTGGGCATAAGCGCACCAACATGCCTACCGTCCCTGTCCTATTTTTTCTTTTTATTTTTCTTATATGTATCCATGTATTCATAATTATGTTTATACTTATAGCATCCCTGTCCTATTTCTTTTATTTTTCTTATACGTATCCATGGATTCATAACTGTTTATACTTAGAGCGTCCCTGTCCTATTGTTTCTTTTATTTTTCTTATACGTATCCATGTATTCATAACTATGTTTTTACTTTACACCTATTATCTTATAATCACTTGACAAATAAAATAAATAAACCTTGCAAGGGGATCTTCCCAAGCAGATTATTTTTTTTGAAGCTGAGCGGAGGTTGGTTCCAGGGGTTTAGGATTATGGGCTGAAGTTTGGATTGGCAATCTTTGCGAATCTATTAATTTTTTTTTTTTTTAAAAAAAGCTTTTTGGGGTCTTTGGTGCTGATCGAATTTGGTGGGTTTTTTTGCAGGTATTTTATGACCCCCGATCTGATGGTGTTCCCTAGTTGGGTAACGAAATGTCTGCAAAGAAAAAACCCAGCTCAGAGAGCGGAAAGGACCTCGCAGTTGTCATTTTCCTCCTCCTCCTCCTCCTCCTCCTCCTCCTCCTCCTCCT